GCCGATATGTACGCCTCCCCCCACCCTCTGTACAAAAGTGGCTTACAGCCAAAGCGAGAACGATATTTCATTCCGATGGAATCTCGAAACTTTCGAACCATTTGCCTTGGAAGCTCGAGACAGCTATACAGCGCTCCCTACATTAAACAGACAATGTTTCGATTGCCTCATAAACGACCCGACTGCTTCGCGATATATCCAAATTACCGAAAAGCATTTTACAATTTAAGTTAACGAAGCGAGCAGACCCGGCAAGAGGAACGGGTCCGAAATACCGAGGTCGAGTTAAGATTCCGTGCCAAAGTATGCTATAATCGTTGAAAATTCCCTAGGAGTTCGCACTACCTATTTCGTAGAATTATCTCGAACGAATACAGACGAAAGAATAAGATAACGGATATAAACAAAAGCGTACCTTGATTTCGAACTGGCCGATCGTGACGCCCTCTAGCCGGTCGAAAAATCTCCAGGAAATAAGTCCGTTCGTATTGACCGATCTCACTCACGCTACGCTTCCGTGCGCTACCAAAAACGTTCCTCATAGAACGGCTTAACTGGCCGACCCTGGCTCCAACGTACGTACACATACACAGCTCGCGGAAAAAACGTTCGCAGGGAAACACACCAGCGAGCTACTAGTCGAACGTTAAAATAACCGCGACGTCGTCCGTTAACAAGGAAGATAACGGTATATCCGTCGACGAGTATCAGCCGCGGAAGAGAGGAAAAAGCATCGCGACGACGACTACTAACGATGCATATTGACCAGCGGCAAAGTTTCGCCTCGAAAAAGTTAATCGACGGGCCGCTGCTTTATTTTTGGCCGCCGCGCACGCTTGACCAGTTTCACACACGTGTCTAGTTATTTTTAATCCACTATGATGCGTACCAGCCACACGGAATAGACAGAGACGGGATAGCGTCTGCGGCGCGCCGAGAACTACATAATACCACGCTTCCTGGTAAAATTTTCGTATATATCACAGGTCGATAAATTCCTGGCACGTGGCAGTCTCGATGTCTCGATCCAGTCTCGACCGATTAGCGTGTCGCACGAGCAACCAGACGCGCCGCCATGAAAACATTTTTCATCTCACCGTGCAGCGCGATTATAACCTACGGAGGAACGTTATGGAAGTGATCGGCGACGGTTACAGCATTGTGTCGCGCATGCGCGGCGCACGGGGCTCTGCGATTTCGGTTTCAAACACCGGCGCGATTGAATTTTTCTATCGAATCGATAAATTCGCGGAATGTGGTCTAGTCGCCATCGAGTCTCGAGTAATTTGTCGGGACGGCTCCTCTTCGTATCGATTTGTATAATTTAGCAGCGAGACTAACTTTCGAATTAAGAGGAATAACAATTTTACGATAAAAGTACTGAACCCTGAATTTCGTCGAAAATTTTTCCACGTATAGATACACTTATAACGAGCGCAAAATTTGCGATAGAATAACAGAAATTGAATATCCTTAAGATAATGGTACATTTTGGTCTAACCAGGTAGAAAGTTCATCCTTCCACGTATGCATATACGCTTATACAAATATCAAATTTGTAATAGCATAGCACCAGTCGACTCATACGTGTGTTCTTAACGAATTTTAAATATAAAGATAATAGTAAATTCTACTACCGAATTAGTTAGAAAATTCTACTTTTCGACGTGTACGTATATACTTATGCAAATACGGAATACTGTTATTCTGAATTCGTTTAAATAAAATAATATATATTGATATATTAAAAAAATATAGATATATATATAATCGAATTCAGAATAATATTTTCTAATTAATTCGATACTAGAATTTATAGAATAATGGAATAGAATAGTAATTCGGAATAATATATTAATATATTCAATATATATGTATACAAATTCTTTTATAGATGCCTATTTATTTATATATGTATTATATATACGAATATTAATATACACGCCCACGTATGTGTAGGAGAAATATCGGGGGAATGGTGGATTCCGGCATTTCGTGAGTCCTTCGAGACGCGTTCGTCTGAACGTGACTTACCCGTTCTTCTCGATGAGACCAACATGTCCGTCGGAATCGAATGGAACCGTGGTAAGTCGTACAGGACTCGTGGGTAAGAAAGTTGCAACGGAATCGACAGCGAGTTTTCCTCGGGGGGATCGTCTGCCTCGCAATGAAATCACTGGACGAAAGAAGCGAAGCCCAGAAGGCATGGATTACGCGACTTATACTACTCGCGAGGAAGCATTTCACCCTGTAATTCGAGAAAGAACGATTTTCGAAACGATAAAAAACATCTCGGAGAAAAGCTCGCGCGATAGTAACCCCGTGAATCATGAAATCTCTATATAAAGATCTCGCTATATAAAGATCTCGTTTTTATAACCTCTTTCAGAAAAAAAACCCTGTTCCCGAGAAACCTATAAATTCCTTAAAAAAAGAGAAAATAACCGCCGTTCCGCCCCGATGCAGTAAAAATAAAAACATTTCCAGGAAAATTAGAGTAGAATTGCTTTATTCTCGACCGGTACACCCTGTATATCCCTCCCTCCAACCTCCCTCCGATTTCCTATCAAGAATCACATTCGATGCACACAGCTACGTAATTCTTTCCACATATACAGCCTGGTCTCTAATATAGGTCGATAGGTCGATATACTCACGGCTACGGCTTAACCTTTCATCGAAAAAAGCATAGAAAACCAGCGACAGAACATGAACCAGTCCCTAGAACTTGTCCATTTATCCTAAAAATATCCACCCATGCGTATGCTCGCCTCTGAACCATTTCGAACACTTCGAAAAGCACTAACGATAACCTACATACTTATCTGGCTCCTCGACTAACGATTAACCAACAGTGTAGCTAGAGTTACCCAAAAATCATATTTTCGAGCACCGTAAACATCTCGCGCGGTTCCCGAGCCAATTCGCTGACCGTAGCGGCATGCAATCCCCTCGTAAGCGTCCGTAGTAAACACCGTAAAAAAATCCTAAAATGGTGCGCGCGTGTTCCGAAACGGGGTGTGATAAAGCCAGCCAGTAAGCCAACCACCGCACAACCGTTTTCCCCACGTGCGTAATTAGTTTTGACGGGCTATCGATCGCGGCCGGTTTCGTCAGCGCCGTGAGTAAGTGTTAAAGGTTGAGTACACTTCCTTGCAAGTGAGTCTAGGTCAGCCGTATTGGGTCGATACTATGAAAGCAGGACAAAACGAGGACAGAAAGCTGGCGTGCGAGAGAGACTAAGAGATCAGGAGGGAGAAACGGAGAACGAGCCTCCGATGTATTTCAGGACAAAGCGAATCGGGGAGAGTAAAGGCGTGCGCCCGTGACGACGTGGTGGGGGAATCGAGGGTCGCCACTGATAGTGGGAGGTCGAAGAATTTTATGGACAATTTCGATGAGAATGGCTGAGTTAAAGGGATGGAAGACTACTTGGGTCTGACTAATCCCGACCCTTTCCACTGTGTCAGACCGATCGGCTGGTTCATCCGCTGTGAAGCTGTTATCAACCCTGATTCATTGGGTATACCATTAAACCCGTGCACGTTATACGCGACTGATCCAAAAAACGCGTAGGCATACATTAGCGTACAGGGTCTCGATAATTCGTGCTTATATTCCAGCCGAGGTTTGTGTAATTCGAGATCGTGTTCTGAGAAAATAAATATTTCCAACGTAGCGCGGTGAAACGTCGTAACAACGAAAAACGACAAACTATCGGACCGTGTACACGTATGTACGCACACACGGGCAGAATTGCCTCACCGGTTCCGCCAGCGTGTAATTCGAGCCTGCTTCGATTCCGTTTACCTCGAATCAACGAGACTGGCGTGTAACAATGTTTTCTCGTTTTACGTAACCCACAACAGAATTCAATCACCCAACGATGAAACGTATTTCCGTATTTAACCTCCAAATCGACTATCAAACTTTCAGACCACGGAGAGAGTACGTCGAGACAGTTGGAAGTAACGTACGAGTAGGGTAGACGACAGGCGTCCAAGGAGACCGTGCATAAATGCACGGCTACATTAGCCAGTGTAATAGCATGCAAACCATCGCCTCGTCATTCATATACGCCCTGCTCTACTGAAGGCTGGAAGTTCAAGAAGAAGGATAATAAGAAGAGCAAAAAGGCAAACGCAGGCAACAATGCGGGAGAGGAATGCAGCGCGAGCAAAAGCTGCGCGTAATAATGCGCCTGCCCGATCCCGGGACACACGAGGTGTAGGAAAGAGAGACCGTTTACAAGGATAGCGAGTATCGCCGTCTCTGTTCATCGCACGCGGGCTCTGGCAGGCTGGCTGGCACTCCCGAAATAATGTTCAACCGCGATCGGTGCAAAGTGCGGGGGGAGAGAGGAGCGGCGTAGGGGCGGGCGGCAGAAGTGGGGAGTCGTAGCACGAGAGCCACGTACCAGGGGTAGGTAGGTCGAGGAAGAAGGAGAAGAGGAAGCAGAAGGAACGAAGGACGGACCGAGCGAACGGACAGACGGACGGTTACATAATTTTTGTAATGTCATTATCGTGCGGCGATCCGTGCACATGCGATCCGATTCAAACGACTCATGTATCTCACGGTTCCGGGATAAAGTTGATTCGACGTTGAGGTTAGAAAAAGAGGGTAACGCGTTAAGAGAAAATTTAACCGTATATAAGTCACCGAGAGGGTGCGTCAGAGAAAGTCACGGTAGAGCGAACAGAGGTTAGGAATCGTAGAGAGACGTGTAGAAGAATCAGTGTATCTACTGGAAGGAAACGAGAGAAGAGACACGTTTTATACTATCGTAAGTAGAGATATACGGTCCGAGTTGCGTACACGTGTGAGTGTAGCAAAGGCAGACGAGCATGAACCACGGGTGATCGGAGGGGTGAGAGACGTATCAGCCTACGGAGGATGGTATTGGGTGGGCACACATAGATGAAGATGGAGGCGGGGAAGGGGAGCGGCTGTTTGCGGAATGGCGAATCAATCGGTTGAGAGTTCGGGGCAATACTCACCGCGCGCTGATGGTCTGCAAGATGTCTCGGTGTCTCGTCGAGGTGGCAAGAGAGAGAAATTTGATGTCACATACGCCGCTTCATCAGGCCACTGCGCGCCGTTTATACCACTCTGCCTTAGCGCTTGGCGCTTGCTACTAAAAATATACTCACTTGCCGTATATTCCCCCGCTTCACGTCTTGTACCGTGACCGACACATTTATTCGCGCGTTTCGGAGCACTCGTATACTTGCATCCACGAACAAACGGATCGCTCGATTCCCCTGGATCGTGTCACGGACGCCCGCTCGTCGCCGTGTGTTGCTGGCTGCCGCCGCTTGTCGCCGCTGCTGCACGCCGAGGACGACGAGAGACTGCCAAAAGGAACCAAGAAAAAAAAAAAAAGGCGATCCTCAAGTCTCCCTCTTACATGTATACACGCGCGAATCTTTTTAACGGAAAGATGAAAAAAAAAAAAATAGTTCCAAGGAAAAAAAGAGTATGAAAAGATTTCGAGGGAGACGGACAGAGCGAGAAGAAACAGCAGCCTCTCGTAGCTTTCGCACAGCGCGACCCACCGAACACGAGACCCCGCGCGACGCACGAAAATACACGCGCAGCCCCCCGGAGAGCTTTCCTTCCACTCTGATTCGAAGCGCGAGAAAACGCGTATCGAGTTATCCAGCTGACATGCCAGTGAAAATCTCTACCACACAAAACAGGGGAGGGGCGTGGGAGATAGGAGTAGTAGTAAGTGTGTATATACGGGTATATGTATACGTATACCGTGCGGAAAGATAAAGGGGGAATCAAGGGGAAGACAGGGTTTGACAGAAAAGAAGGAAAAAGAAAAGAACGTTCGACGGTTTGAACGGACGAGAACGGGAAAACGTGTAAGAATGTAGCACAGTATCGATGTCTACGAAGAGAAACGCACGGGAAGAAACCGAGGTGAGGACGAAATCGCTACTTCTTACTCTTTCTCCGCGAGGCGCCGCGTCGCGACGCGCCGCGCATGCACTACTATGCCGACGACCGTTGGAAAATCACTTCTCCCTCCGCCACCCCCTCCCCTAGACACCCCTCCTCTTCTCTATACTGTACGTCTCCGCTGTGACACGGAGAATACCTATAACCCCAGGCACACTCCGTTTATCGCATCTCTATGGTGCGGGTGATATATCGGTATCTTTGTAGGAGGGGTATACGCTTAACATTTTTTCGCAACACTGACTATCCTACCTTTCATAATCATAATATACCTTTTTCGAACAACCGCGTACGCGTGGCCGTTAATATTATGGTTTTATCTTTCCCTCCTGCTTCGATGGATACGAGAACCACAAAACAGGAAGAGAGAGAAAGAGACAAACAGATAGACAGAGAGAGAGAGAGAGAGAGAGAGAGAGGGAAGGGAAGAGACAGAGTGTGTGTATGAGAGAGAGAAAGGGAAAGATAGAAAATGAAAAATATAAGGCACGTCTCTTTCTCCTTTTCGTTTGATCTATCACTCGAAATATTTGATATTGGCTCAAATTACAGATATTCGCGAAGGTACTGGTCAATGTTTTTTCGTTTGTGACGTTTTTCATACAGGCTGGCTGGGTCAGACGTATCGCTTGTTATCAGCGGGCAGCAAGCCACACAACGTCCGCGCATGGACGAGTCTCGTTGCATGCGCGCGCACACGAGCGTGTCTTCCGTTTTGCGAGTATGTCACTGGCCTCGTGCGTTCGTCTCGACGAGTCTGTATATCGAGATATATTTCTCTTTTTCTCTCGTCCTCTCCCCGTATGTTATTATGTATTACGTATTCTGTACCAATGTGTGCGTAG